AGGCTGAGGGCTGCCAGTGCAGTGGTGGTGGTGGGAGCCTCTCCCGCCTCCTCAGCAGCGCTAAGGATGTCCGAATGCAGCTAGGCCTGCTGGCAAGTAGATATTCCCCAAGGGCTGCTGGGCTGCCAGAGGGATGTCTGACTGCCAGCTTGGGCCCGATCCCCCCAGGGAGCCCAGACTGTGAGAGGGCACAGGCCAGGCTGAGGGCGCCCCCCCCCAAGTGCACAAATTTTTGTGCACCCGACCTCTAGTTTATATAAATAAAAGGCTAATATGCTAAGTGTCCGTCCAGGTAATGACATCACGTAGCAATGCCCAGGTTCCTCTCCCTCGCGCCAGGCCATTGAACAATAAACGGCACTGCGGACCTGATGCCCACAACACTCGGCTTCCCCCAAGTGGGACACAGGCCTTGCCACCACCCCGGAATGACACTCCACCAAATTGCAGCCGACGCTGATGAGACCCCCATGGTGCAAAATTCGCCCACAGCCCAGACCAGCCCAGAAACAATGGCTGTAGGTGCCGGGTAATGATGTCACGTAACAATGCCCAGCTTCTTCTCCCTAGCGACAACTAGCCTCCTTGCAGTCCAGGAACAGGACTTGCTTTGTAGCCAGGTGGAAACATTTTAGACTTTAAACAAATGTCTGTGAAGTGTTTTCCCGTGCCTCATCTCATTTGATCCTCACGGAAGTCCTGGAGTAAGTAGATAGGAGACTCTGTGGAATCCTGTTTTCTTTTCATTAGCCGGAAAACGGAGATTTAGAAAGCTTAGAAACTTGACCTGACTGAAAAGAAGTAAGAAATAGTGGACCTTGAAATGACTTCAGGTTTTCTCACTGCGCAGAATATAGTCAAACACTGCTACAGTTAAATATTTTACCCTTTGTTCTCCCTGCGTGATCTACAATAATAATCTGCTTCATGTTGACATTTACTGCTGTGTTGCTGACAATTACCTGAAAGAGAAGTTGGGTTGCTTCTCTGGGCTGGAAAAAGTTTTCATACATCATAAAGCAGGTCTAGTCAAGCAAGTTTATTCTATATATATATATATAAAAGGCTAAGTGGACTCGCACATGCTGACACATATAAAGCTCTCGCTGGCGCCAATCGCACACATGTGTTTTGGTCTGTCACTGTCAATCGTGAATTTGGTTGACACTTCTATTATAGAGAAAGGGCAAAGAGCGATATTAAAATATTTCTTCTAATTAATTTCCTTCAATGTGCATGAATTCATGCACCGGGCCACTAGTATCAAAGAAAATGCCAAATAATTAGTCTTTCTCCAGCTAGATTGCCCACATGGTCTGCCAGCAAGTTTATTGAGAGAAGACAAGAACATCCTTTTTACTAAACTGAATTATGAACCACTTAGCAAGGTCCTTGTGGTACTGGGCTCCGGTAAGTTGAATGAGACCCAGTTCCCATCCCTCAGGTAACTCACAATGAAATCTTGGATTTAATAGAAAGACATATGTTAAGTAGAGTATGTTGGTATTAATGGTGAGAAAGAGGATTCTATTCTATTGGAGAAGATAATATATAAGGATTGATTCCTAAAAATAAAATGTGTCCAGTCTGAAAATTCAGGGGAACATCCAGTTCACAGACACATAAGACAAGACAAAGTGAGGGGAGGAGTGAATGAAAGCATAATGTTTATATTTTTATGAAGACAGTGTTTATTCAAAAAGTATTGGAAAAACATTGTCTCATATGTTGCTAGCCTGTGGACTGGGAGCTGTGCCATCTCCCTCCACCTGGAGTGGCTCCATTTTCCCTGATTTATATAAATACAGTGATCTTCCAGACAAGAAAGTATTTTTTAAAAGGTTTGAAAATCATTAATTGAAACAACAAATTCACATCAATATGAATAATGTGAATAAAATACTAAGAAAATGGCATAAGTGGAAAAATGTACATGAGAAATGTTATATTTAAAGTACTATTTTAAAAAGGGAGGAAGAAAGAAAGAAAGAGAGAGAGAGAGAGAGAGAGAGAGAGAGAGAGAAGGAAAACACACCCAAAAAGCCACTGAAGTGGCAAAATTCTCCAATCATTCCCTGGTCTATGAGTTTTGCTTATGGCTGACAATACTGTTCTGTATACTTAAAATTTTCTAAGGGGTATATCTTTATGTTGTGCTCTTATATTTAACACAACATAATTTTTTTTAAATGCATATATGTTTCTGACTTCAAGGCAACAGACTAGAATTTTCAGATTTTATATCATATCTGCAAGAACCTCTGTATTTCTCAAATAAAAATTGGATTGAATAGAGTCCTGAAATAGACCCAAAAGCCGATAGGAATTAAGTACAAAAAAGGTGGCAGTTTAAAATCACCCTGTAAGGGAAGAATTATTTTTAAAATGGTATAGGTCGGCTAGTTAACTGGATAAAGAAAGAAGGAAAGGAAGGAGAGATACTACATTCATTAAACCAAAACAAACTTCAATAGAGTGAAAACTCATTATAAAAATAAAACTATTAAAGTTCTAAAAGGAATCAGGAGGGATTTTCAAACATAGTGTTAAGCTTATCCTAAGCAACAAGAACAACAAAGCAACACACACACACACACACACACACACACACACCATGAAGGAAAAAATATAGCCAATTAATATAAATAAATGTGACTGCAGCTGAGTCATCAGTAGGTCTGCCATAAGGACTCCTGGAGACATTTTTTCCCAAATTCCAGGTCATATAGAAATCTTGGAATTTTCTTCAGATTCCATAATAGGGCTCCCTATAGCCTTCACCCCATAACAACTTGAATCTACGTTTGTCCCCTCATCTTTCTGTGACAGAAGAAGAGGCTCAGGACCTATCCAATAAAATGCTGTGTGTGGGCTCGTCAGAGTTATGACAATGCAGGCTCAGCACACCAGCCACACCTCCCAGCAGAGGTCCAATCAGGAGCCCACGTTGTCATCATCCAGGTTGTGTCCACCTGGAAATTTGAGCCAGGGCAGAAGTGGAAACTGGCCAGGAATTTTAAAAGCAACATAAGGAGTTTGGTTTACGAGATGTTTAAGCTGCTTAAGGTAGAAAGGGATCCTCAAACCCATTTCATCCAATCTCCTCTATCTGGATTTTCATTCTTTCTCTGTAACACCAGCTTACAATTCAAGCCCTCCACTGACTGTCTACAGAGGCTGTCATTTCATAACCTTACTCACCATGGTGAGTCAAATTTGATTCTATGAGACACCCACTTACCTGATATCAGCCTATTACAGGGGGGGATGTCAATCCCTCACCTACAGCTACCATTCAACTAGCAGACTAGTGTTTCTCAGAATGAGGGGCACTGACAGTTCAGTTGGCTCTTTATATACATTCCTCCTTTGGAGTCAAGGAAACCTGGGAAAAAGAAGGACAGTTACTATAAAATCAGTTTTTATATTATGTTCTGCCAAATAGGCATCAGTTTCAACTTCGGGATAGTTTCTGGGTAGCCATTCCTGTCTTGAACTAATCAACTTGAGAACAGAACCACGGATATCTCAACTTGGCTGAGAATTTTTTTCATAAAAACAAGTCTTTTCATCAAAATATTTGGAAGCCATAAGGTAAGGGAGGTTGAATATGCTGAAAGACAAAATCATGATGCGAAAATCTGTAGACATCATTGCACAAGACACTAAATCCCACAGGCTGTACATCCACATCTACTGCCAACCAATATTGTCATTATACTCGGAATGTCAACGTTGATACAGTAATAAAAGTGTCTATTATTCAGCCTTTCAAAAGGAAATCCTGCCAGCCTTAGCCAGTTTGGCTCAGTGGAGAGAGCATCGGCCTGTGGACCAAAGAGTTCCAGGTTCAATTCGGGTCACGGGCAGGTACCTTGGCTGCAGACTCCTCCCGGGCTGGCCCTAGTCAGGCTCATGCAGGAGGTAACCAATCAATGTATTTCTTTCACATCCATGTTTCTTTCTTTTTCCCTCTCTGTTTCACTCTCCCTAAAAATCAATGGAAAAATATCCTGGGGTGAGGATTAACAAAAGACAACAAAAAAAGGAAAACCTGCTATTTGTGATAGCATGGATGGACTTGGAAGACATAATGCTAAGGGAAATAAGTCAGTCACAGAAGGAAAAATACTGCAAGAATCCACTTACATCAGGTATCTAAAAGAGACAATTTTTTTTTATAGACAAGAATAAAATGGTGGTTTCCAGGGGTGAGAGGAGGAAGAAATGGGTAGTTGTCCAATGGACAGAACATTTCCGTTATACAAAAAAACACACACACAAGTTTTAGAGATCTGCTGTACAATGTTGTGTTTATAACAATAGCATATTATGGTGCACTTAAAACCTTGTTAAGAGAGATCTCATGCTACTGTTTCCCATCAGAAAATCTAGAATATGGTCCCTGATGCACAGTGGGGAGAGGAAATATCCTGAGTCATATTCTCATTCCAGCGATGCCCTAATTCACATTCAACAT